GGGTTCTTAATCTCAGAAATTTCAATAGGATCTCACCTACCTTTAGAGTTTTTATTGTTGGGCAGATTATTTGGATTTAGAATGGGTGATGAGCATTTAAATCTCCACAAAGCTGGAAGTCCAAGAGAGACTCTGAATTTGTAAAAAATTTATGATTATTATTGGTCTTCTATTCTCAATTGCCCTTGAAATGTTGAACTGAGACCTGCTGTGGAAATATTTTCAGTTGGTTGCCTACCTCAGGGGATTGTTGTGCAGATCCAACAAGGAAAGGGGAAAGAATCACAAATGCCCCATTCCAAATGCAACGGTAAAGAAGCAAAGGTTGCTGTAAGGATAAGGCTTTGGGGGCAAGGACAAAACCACAACTGAACAACTGCGCAACTGGCAGAAAAGCAGCAGGTGGAGCATGGCAATGGGCTCAAGGACCTGGCACCCCCCCTCCCCCATGGAAGAGGCTACATCAAAAGAATGATACAAGATTTGCCCCAATCAGATAAATCAGCACTTTTCACTCAAACAGTATCCCCACTTTTTTTTTTGTAGTTTTGGGGTACCAGTCCCTCACCATAACTTCTCTTTCTTGGTCTATTGGTTTCAATGGGCAAAACAAGGGAAGACGTCCCCGCCTATCAGTGGCAAAAACAGGGATTTAGATAAAAGGGGGAGGGGGGGAGAACGACGGCGGCTTTTGTAAACGAAGTAGTGGGCTCCACCGGGTGAGTTTCTGCCTGTCCTGGTGGAAGCTTAGCGGGAGGTAGGCTCCACCGGGTGAGCTTTTGCCTGCCCTGCTTGACGCTTAGCGGGAGGTGGGCTCTACCGGGTGAGCTTCTGCCTTCCCTGCTTGACGCTTAGCGGGAGGTGGGCTCCACCGGGTAAGTTTCTGCCTGGGCTGATGGAAAGCTTAATGGGAAGCGACGACTCCGCCAGTTTTGGCCGCTTGACAGCCTTTCCGCTCGCTTTTGGGAGAGCCCTGGGGGGGGGGGATTTAGAGAGCCCGAGGAGTGCACGCCGGGCGACCCCCTGCAGCAGCCCCTGCCCCGAGAAAGCGCCCCGGCTCACCGGAATGGTCGACGAGAGAGCGCGGCCCTCCTTCTCCTGTGGCTGCCGCGGGCTCGAGGGCGCCCCGACGGCTTCTCGGGGAGGGTCGGGCGGCGGCGGAAGGAGGGGGCGAGCGCGCTCCTGCCTCTGCTGGCTGCCCAGGTGAGGCTGGCAGCGCCCGGCGAGCCTGGCGGCGCGGAGAGAGGCTGGCCCGAGCGCTCTGCTCCCACCCCCCTCCCGCCCCTCGCGCCCGGGGTCGGACGGACGCCACCGAGCCCCCCTCCCCGGCCTTGGGCAGCTGAGACGGCCCCGCCGTGCGCCTCCGCCCCTCCCCGCCGGTGCCACCTGCCGCGACACCCGACACCCGGAACGCGCTGCTGGCTCAGCGGGACGGCCCCCTCTCCTCCTCCGAGTCGCCCTCGTCCTTCGCTGGGCCGGGGGATGCCCGCCGCTCCCCGCTTCCCGAAGCTGCCCTGTCCGCTCCCTGCACAGGCTTCGG